TTTGTGAGCCAACTAGTGAAGGTGAGGATGTAATGATATCACTAGACCCCAGATAAATGATAAATGGGTGTTTATTGGGGACAATTACACAGAAAATACCAAGAACCACTGAGCGTTTCCCTGCTCTCTCTACCAGATCCGCTGACTCAACAGAAAGAGAGCACAAAGGAAAGCCACACCTTGAGCTCCTCTCTTTCTGCTTGTTTGCCTGAAGCCACACCCAAAGGGGGTGTGGCCTGTGTTTCAGGTCTACAGACCAGATGCCTACAAAATAATGTTATGTCTGTTTTCTTTTTGCTCTTTAACCTAAGCTGTCTCTGAAGGGCTAGGATTATAGGCGTGTGTCTCCATGCCAATCTCATGATTGGTGTAGTCTTCAATATTTAGGCATTAAATGTATTCTTATTTTTAAGATTTACTTCCCCCTTTGAATTATATGTATATATGTGTGTGTGTGTATCTGTGCAACATGTGAGTGCAGGTGCCCACAGAGTCCAAGAGAGGGTGTCAGATTCCCCGGACTGGAGTTTAGAGGTGATTGTGAGCAGCCTGATAGGATTCTGGGAGAGCAGTGCACACGCTTAGCTGTTGGACCATCTCTCCAACTTTTAGTAAAGGTATTCTGAGATTAAATATACCTTAGCAATTGGGTGAGCATTTTAAAGAGTGAGAGTTGGCACTTCATCTTACATGCCAGACATTGTTGAATTCTCTTGGGGACTGACTGGCACCTGTCCTGTATTGATGTCAGAGCCTGTCCTCACTATTCTGGTTCCTTGTTTCTCACTTCTTTGAAATTCTTTTGTTCTTCCTTTCCATATCTTTCATGTGACTTGTTAAAACAAGTCTTATGAAAAATTCAAAGAGGCAGACTCAGGGAACATTGGATGGTCAGTGCTGGAGCAGAATGTCTTTTACTGGTGTGGGTGAGCTTCCCCATTACCAGAGTCCATACTGGGCACATGAGTTCCTAATTGCCTCCTAGACCTAATTGCCTATAGGACCTTGGGAGACTGGCTTTGTGATCTGCTTTCTCAATGGCATAGTGATGCCTGTGCACACAGACAAGCTGTAAACCAACTGATCTGGAAGTCTAGTTGGCGAAAAGTGAACTGAAGTGCAGCTTCTTTGGAGGCATTTTTACAGCTATGTCCTGAAAGCTAATGGATTAAATTGTATTGTACAAATGTAAATATTACCATATGTTGTTATAAAAACAGCAAATTGATCTAGTCCTGCTAGTTTGATACTTGATGACTGTCATGCTCTTAATGACGGCAAGGGGCAGATTATTGGCTCTGGTGGTTGCATGTCCTAAGGTCTTGCCTCTGGGGGATGCATGGTGGTGCCTTGTGTGTTACATAACTTACCTGTCTTTGTCATTTTCTTGTAAATGTTGATAGGGGAGGAACTGTGTCTTCCTTCCTCTTGATATTCACAGCACTGTGTGGAATGCTCTAAAAGTTCTAAGTTTATCTTTTGACAGCATGCACTATCTTCAATAAAAGTTTTGATGCATTGCTTAAATGGGAGAATAGAGACCTATGTTCTCTGTTTCTACTTTTTCCCCTCTCTCTTGGATCCTATGTTCTTTTGAAGAAAATCCTATAAAAGCTCCTTTTTTTCTCTTTAATTCCACAGTGACCCTCTTGACCATTTGTCCTGGGAACTGTCATTAGTAGAAAGCATTGTTACCTATTTGTAAGTCCTGCCCCTTACTTTTTACCAAGTTGAACATAGGATGAGGTTTTGGCTTAGGAAAAGAGTCTTAATGGCCGTCAGTTACTGCTTAGCCAATTACCAGTGGTTGTATGTCCAGGGCTATGTGCATTTTAGTATCAGTAGTGTTATTCTGGTCCACTGCCATAAAGCATTAAGAACATTCAAGTCATGTATCTGAAGGCCCCCAAAGTCACAAATGTGTAAAAAAAATCCTCTAAACTTTTTATTTACTTATTTTTGGTGGGTAAACATAACCCTAACATTTACTATAGGGTGGTTAGTTTTTTATTTTTTAGCAGTGATCCTAGTTGCTTCCTTTTAATAATCCTTAATTTTTCCTTCTTAGAATGGATCTAGCCAATGCTGCTCATGACCTGGTGGACACATGCGGTTCTTCCTTTCTCCTGGAAGATGTTAAAGGCCACTATGTTAAAGGTGTCTTGGTTAGCCAGCACCTCCAGTGTCAGTATAAGGGAAATACCTTTGTTATATACTCCCCCCTCCCCCTTTTAATAATTAAGACATTCCCCTTTCATTTTATGTATACAAAAGTAAGGTCAGAACCCCACAGAGTTCTCAGAGAATTCTGTGCTAGTCATTCTCTTTTGCTCTCAGCAATTTCAAGTCAGTAGATAGTCTTCATTTTATAAGTGTATGTGCAAGATCCACAGGCCTCTAGACAGTATAAGTTTCATAATGGTAAACATTGGATTGATATTAAATTGAAAACTGGGGAGATGTTTCAGTGGTTAAAATGCTGCTTGTGCAAGGTTGAAAACAGGGCTTTGGATCCAGAGAACACATATAAACTAGTTAATCTCACCATGAGATACTGTGAGTCTGTAATTCCTAGTGTTTTTACCTTGATGTGTGGCAGTGGAGTTGGGGCAGAGACAGGAGACTTTCCTGAACCTCATGGGTAGGCTAGCTTGGTGTACACAATGGTGAAAAAGAGACCCTGTCTCAAGGTAGAAGGGAGGACCCACACCTGAGGCTGTCCTGTGACCACCAAATCCCTGTTGTGCCACACATGTGTCCACGTACACATGTCCTACTTATAAACCACACACACACACACACACACACACACACACACACACACACTTCAAACATCTCATAGAGAGTTGTCACATGTTAGAGCTTTTGTACTTGCTAAGTGGTACTTAGCTGTTTTTCTTAGGATTTAAAAGACTGTTTTTGGACACTACAGGTTTTAGGGAAAATTACCAGTACTTAGAACTACTGAGAATTTCGATGCTCACAAGTATGTAGGCAAATAGTTATGTTTGAGAAAGTCACATTTTGAAATGAAGGTTTTTTAATTCTCTTCCTCCAAGACAATGTTTCTTTGTGTGGCCCTGGGTGTCCTGGAACCTGCTCTGTAGATCCCCCCTCGACTTTATTGTTTTGATACAGATGTCTAAGGTCAGTTTTCCTGCTGTCCCCTGGTCAGTATTTCCAGGTTTGTCATTGGTTCCTGCCTTTGCCATAATTTGGAACCTTCCTGACTTGTCCTGCTGGTAGTGACAATCCATAGGGAAGTGTTTTTCTAAAGAGTAGGAATAATAAACCCGATCTTAGCTGCTTGCTTTCTTTCCTAAGGCTCTTACTGTATCTGGGTTTATACATACTTATGTCATCTAGGAAGAAGATCAAATTTTGAACAAGTATTTAAATCACATTGGAAACCAGTACAGTGAGGTACTTTAAGAAAACAAAACAAACCCAGAACTGGAAAAAGATACCTTATTTGTACATGAGTGACTGCCCCTTTAAATGAAAGTTGTGAGTACAACTCATTTATTTATTTAGGCTTCTTTTGGCCAGTGTAGCCCAGTCTGGCTTTGATCTTATGGTCCTTTTGCCTCTGTTTCCCACGTTTTGGACTTATACTTTTGCACTGGTACATTTCAACATCTAATTCTAATTTAAAAGGCTGTCCAGTTCTTGGACTTTGAAGACATATATACATATTTTTCTCAGATGTTTGCATCTTGATATTTTTTTAATCACATAACTTTCAGTTCTTATTTTATGTCTTCCACTTTAATTTTTTTAAAATACAAAACTCTAAACTCATGTCTCCTATAGCCCAGGATGGCCTCAAATTTGTTATGTACTGTTTTTTTTTTTTGTTTGTTTTTTTTTGAGACAGGGTTTCTTTGTGTAGCTTTGGAGCCTATCCTGGCACTTGCTCTGTAGACCAGGCTGGCCTCAAACTCACATAGATCCATCTGCCTCTGCCTAATAAGTGCTGGGATTAAAGACCTGTGCCACCATTGCCTGGTTACACTGACAGATTTTTTAGTTGAGATCATCACTATGGTAAAGTAATGATCATGAAGCTGTTTTCATAGGTCAAAATGAGTGCAAATTTTATTCTGTTCGATAAATGTTGATTTTAACTATGTACCACGTATGTGTTAGATGACAGTTGTTAGCACATGTTCTTTTATAGCATAAATGAATAGATCTGGTTTCTTGTTTAGAAATGTTTGACCCTTTCTGTCTTTGAAAGCACTAATGCTCCAATGAATAAGGAAGGAGAATTGGAAATTGAATACAACTCACCAGAATACAAATTGCTACCCTGCCCTTGATTACTAATACAGATATTTTTCTTCCTAAATACTTGTTTCTTTTGAACTATGCTTTGTGGGAAACTAATTTATTCATTTTCTAAAGTGGCCTTGTTTGTCTAGTAAGGAAATCAGCAAAAGAGGTCTCAAACAAGCTAGCAATGAAATTGAAAAGTGTCTACCATCACCACTGGTGATAAATCAAAGTGATGTTAAAGATGCAGATAATCATTCCAGTGCATTCTTCAACGTTACTAGAATTATTTAAGTTCATTAAGCCAGCAAAGTGCTTCATTATCTATTATTCTGCATACTAATGGTGAATTTAAAGTTTCAGTGTTTCATAATGCGAAAAACTTACAAACGTTATATTTAAAACTTTGTATCATTATGCTGTATGTCTGGATATTGAATGGTAATAATTATGAATTGGAAGAATGTAATTATTGTACCCCAGTTAGGTTTCTGAAAAGTTTGTGAGGTTCGTAAAACCAAGGAATTTTAGTAAATATTTAAAACTATTGCATATAGGATAACTTTTTTCCATCTTCTTGAGAAATAGAGTAAGACAATATATAATACACTTCTATTGCACTGCCAGTAATTTAATTGCATTTTAGTTAGCATTGTAGAATATACTCATTAACTAAAAAAAAAGCTATTATAAATTACTGACTGATTTTTTTTCCACATTTGCAGCATTTAAATATTAGGACACTAACAGATGATATGGTAAGACTATGCTCAACGTTTTCTTTGTTATGTATTTAAACTAACCATGTCCTTGACATGCAATACTAACATCTTTGAAAATGTTGAAACCAGCAAGTGCTAAGAATGTGTTTATAGTGCTAAAATAAGAGCTAGAACTGGAAAAATATATTAAATTGTTGCTTGTATGCTATGAAAAGGAATAGTCAATATGTTAATGTAAAAATTTTGTTCAATTACAAATTGTAGTCAACTTTGAATCATTCAAATCAGCTCTCATTCTTTGACGATGAATTGCATACTTCAAAAAGAGGTAGAAAAAGCAGGTAAGTCAAGGAGGCTTGTCAGGAAAATGTAGTTGCTCATTAAAGTAAGCCAGGTTGAAATGCCTTGCATGCAGTTGAGATATTCTGGTTAAAAGTGAGAACGAGGCGTATTTACTTTACATTCATGTTAGTAATAGGCTTCTTCAAAGTAACCAGTGCCTTAGTTGTGTAGTCAAATAGTTGTTGAGGAACACACTTTTGAGACACATAAACACAAGTTACCTGGTGGTTAATGATAAAGGGATGACAGCAGTCCCAGCAGCAAATATCAAAAATATCAAGAATCTGTGAGCACATCTGAGGGAAAAACCTCAGTTTGTCCTTGGCCACATTGGTTTTCAGCGTGTCTGATACCAAGCACACTGCAGAGTGCTTAGGAACAGGAAGCAGTCGAGATGGTCACCTTAAGTATCCAGAGTGCTCGCTTTGGCACCTGCATGTGTGAAAATATTGATGTGAATGATTTAAAAAATTGAAGTAGGGTATTGACTTATTCTCCTGAGTAGTATCTAAGAAAAGCATTTTTTTTATTATCAAAAAGAAAAGTATTTACGTGTATTTTTCTCAGTAACATAGTCATGTGCCATCTAACACCAGGCAGATTTCCCTAAAACCAGGACTAGCCTGGTCTAATTGTGGGCTTCAGGTTTAGTCTCTACCTGAAGTAACATGGGGAGCAATGACACCTGCAGTTGTCCTTTGACCTCCACAACGTGTGCACACATGCGCACAGACACAGAGATAATTTCACCCTCTTGTAAATATGGAAGCGTGAACTTGGATAAACTCTGATTGTATGGTCTCCTACACACCTAGGCCGTGCAGTGATATGCCATCTGTGCAGGCCATCATTGACTGTAACATCAGATGGAACGTGGCTAGCCTAGTGTTTAGAAAATGACGGTAATATGGAGCACTGACCAGGCTATACATTTTATTCTCTCCCTGCTGTGTAGATGTTGTTTTTATTTTACAGTTGAGGACACTGAGGCTGAGACAGGTGCTTAGTTGCTTGTCGAAGGAGAACGGCCAGGCTATAAGTGTACTTTGGGTTTTAGCACTTTGGCTTTTGCATGTATGTCTTCTTCCCCTCCACATGCCCCTCTTTTTGTTTTGGTGAGAATCGAACCCGGGTTCTAATGCTTACTGGATAGGCATGCTAACCATCAAGGTGCCTACGCAGCCTCCATAATGAATGGCTTCTTAAAGTCAGTACAAAATGTTAATTTTATGTTTTATATTTGATTTTATGAGAGTGTACTGTGCTGTAATAGTTTTTATTGAGATACAATTTACACAGCATTGATTTCACTCACTAAAAGTTTATAATTAAGTGGTTTCTAGCATATTCATAAAAATTGCTCATCACTCTAGTCTATTTTAGGATATTTCCAGTATCTTCAAAAGAAAGCTTTGTGCCTGTTAATACTTACTCCCTATTTCGCTTCAGCTCACCCAGCTCAGGGTAACCTCAAGTCTACTCCATGATTGTCTATTTTTGATATTTCAAATAATTGGAATAGTCTTTGATAATTTTTAACTAAAAAATGAAGGACTTTCATCATTTGGGATAATATTTTCAAGGTTCATTCATAATGCTTTATGAATCAAACATGTTCAAGTTACAAACATATTAGAACAAAAGTTTTATAATGTGGGTTACAAAGATGGCTCAGATGTAAATCATCTGCTGTGTAAACATGAGGACTGAGTTGGGTCCCAGCATCTATGTAAAAAGCTTTGAGTGGAGCCTAAGCAGAGACAGGCAGTTACCCTGGAAACTCATTGGCCAGTCAGCCTTGCATAATTGATGGGCTCAGTTTCAGTAACTGACTCTTTCCAAAAATGAAGGTGGAGAGTATAGAGGCAGACACCTGGAGTTGATCTCTGTCTGGCCTTTACCTGTGCAAATGTACGTTTGAATGCACACACAAAGCACACATGCACACATGCAGGTACCTGTTCTTGTCCAGACACACATTACAAGCACATCCCTCACACGAACAAGTACATCACATGCACGCATGCATGCATGCACACACAACCTAATGTTGTAAGGAAGTTTATGATTTTGTGTTGGGCTGAGTTTATAGTGTCTTCAGATGTGGCCAACTGTAGGCTTTACGTGTATTTGACACAACTTTCCTTTCACTTTAAATCATATTCTTTATATTTTTTTAGATTTATTAATACTTAATAGACAGTGCACTTTTTTCAGATGCTCTCCTTTCATTCCATGGCCAACCTTGCACACTCCGAAGCCAGAGTTTTTATTTCAGTTTTAGAAATAGTCACAGAGTGAGTTTAATAGGCCATTCTAGAAAATATCCATGGTGTCCGCTGCGTGAATGGGTGGATTCCTCCCTCCCCGGTGAAAACTTCCTTAGTTTTCTCCTTCCTGTTCCATTCTTGGCTTCTACTTCTCTCCGTATGCCTGGCTTTGGCAAAATCAAAGTATTTGGTAGCTAAGTGTATGTTCACCACTCTAATATTTCCTGTTCTCATCAGTTCAAACCTTTGGAAAGTAGAGACAGTGAGACGATAGGTGATACGTGTCATACTTTTGTAGTGTAGCTGGACATCCCCCACCATTGTAGTACTGACATGTTGTCTTTTACAGAGTAATTGTTTGTCCTTTTAGATAGGGTCTCCCTTGGTAGCTTAGGCTGGCCTGGAACTTACTGATCCTAAACTCTTAGCAGTCGACCTGCCTTGACCTCCTGGGTGCTGATAGTATTACAGGCATAAGCTACCATGGTCTAGCTCTGTAGCAAGTGTTAAAATCTGCTGTTGAAGGCCTGCCGCAGTTCTTCCGACCATCGGCCTGCATGGTCACCATTGCCTAATCCTTCTTTGGCTTTGGCTGTGCATGTGACTGTCTAGCTGCTCTCTTCATCTGGCCATCCTGACTGCAGGTTCTCCTGGGCACTCTCCTTTTCTGATCTTGTGCTTTATTGTGTCTCCCGAGCAGGCCGGGACATAAGTCCAGAGAAGGATCACCTGGTGGTCTGGTTTTGGCAGCTGGCTGCATTCATTGTCTTTGAGGTAAAGAAGGAGCATGATTGTCTTGAACAGGAGAAGAATAGATTCTTCCGAATTGGTGATGGACACAGGGAAAGAGCAGTGTACTTGGAGTCATGGCAGCCTTGTTGACAGTCAGACTTCCCCTCCTTTATCACTCCATGGCATCGATAAACCAGGCATTCCCTTGATCACATATTTGTAAAGAGGGGCTTGTTATCTGTTCTCTCCTTCCTTGTAGGGTTGTGGTGGGTTCCATATAGTCTGAAGCATATTGAAGTGCTGCTCACAGCTCTGTCCTTTGTGTCCCTTTTTGTCTCTTTTATAATCATCTCCTGGTGTGCAGTGTGGCACATTTGCTGCTAGGCTGTACAGGGGACGCGCATCCCAGGATGGTTGAACTGTGATGAGGGAATGGGTGCCTAGATATTTTGAGGGCTCTTTAAAGGGAGCCTGGCGTGTTAGAGCTCAGGGAAGCATTGCTGCTGGTGCTTTTTTGATTCAATGTTGGCAGGATATTTGTAATTACACTTTGACTTCTCCCGAGTATATATGCTCCATGTGTGCTTTTATGTGCATAGCTGTTTTGGAGCAGAACATGAGAAAAGTCAGAGCAATAGCATTTTTGTGTGGCCACACATTTAAACAACAGTATCTTAGAAACATCGGCACTGAAGCAGCATTAATGTTAGAAACCTGTCCCTTTGAGAGGTGGCTTGAGGGATAATGTGCTTGCTGCCTGCGGATCTTGCTTTAGATCTTCAGCACCCCAAAAGCTGGGTGAGGCCGGGCATGTCTGTGTAACCTTAGTGCTAGGGATACAAAAGTAGGCCAAGTGGGTGGAAATAGGTAAATCCTTGGGTGCTGGCCTCCATGTGCCTCTGCATGGGTTAGTGTACCTGCTACCCCCTCTTCTAAACACAAAGAAAATAAAGAAACATCCCTCTAGGTTGCTTGGTTAAAGGCTGACAAGGGTGCTTCTCATTTCAGGGCTATTTTGTGAGTTATCAGAATTGAACTTGGCAGGAAATAGTCTTGTTATAGGAATAAAGCATTATTCCAGTGTTGGTTTCCCCTTCCGTAGACTTTGAGCAGTGTCCTTTTAAAACAGATCTGAACATTTGCCACACTTAAGAGAGCAGGTCAGGGTGCTGAAGTAATGAAAAGTTGCACCACTGCTTTCTTCTGTAGATCTGGGTTTGTAATGTTTTCTCAGAAGTAAGAAGGAAGAGGGAGGGGGAGAGGAGAGGAGGTAATGGCTATGTCCGGGTAAGTAAGGAGAACGGGCATGTGCTTCGTGCTGAATTATCACCCCAAATGTCCTTTCCACTGAGTAGTTTTAGAGTTTAGGAATAGTTTTTCACTTGTTTCTCACAGCCATTTTCAGGATTCCCACTGGACTCCTTGTTTCTTTTATGTCACTGCATAAAGAAATGCATTTAACAATTGTTTCCCATTATTCATTTTTGGACTGTAGCAGTGGTTTTCCTGTGTCTGTTTGACTAGGACCCATGGTAAGATGTCCCCATTTGCTTTTGTGTCTCAGCCCACATAAACCTCCAAGCTGATTCTCAATAGAAACCGAAGTGTTTACAACCAGTATGTGATCTTTCTAAGCATAATGAACTCTGATCTTTCCCTCTCCATTTCTTTCCATTTTTCCTCACTCTTCTC